TATAAAAAGTAGCTAAAAACTTTTGTAAGATAGTTTGGATCAATCCCAATATTCGCCACCCTCACGAAATGGCACTCAGGGGCGTGGTCACCACGCCCTCTAACTATGATCACTCTGGTGGGTGTGGCAAAATAAAATGGCCGCCGAAACAGCAGAAAAAACGCCTTGACAAAAACGGAGAAGAAAACAGCTATTTAGTCACTTAGTGATGAAACAAGGTTCCTCGAGAAAAGCAGAGATCATGTTAGTTATATGTTTAATATTATGTGTCATAATTTAGCTCATGAATTATTACAGAAACAAAAAAAAATTACTCATGACAACAACTCATAGAGCTGTTGCACGGAAGTAATCAACGGGAGGGTGTGGCTAAAATTGAGCTAAATTGTCCGCCATGTTGGGTGGCAAGAAGGCTAAGAATGAATGGGGGAATGGAGAAAAAAATTTAAATAAATTCTGCAGTTGACATTCCAGGCTAATGCAAGGTAGGAGATGAAGATATTGAGTAAAGAAGTCTCTATAATATTCTGCAGTGAAGTATGATATCTCTTTGATGAAAAATCGCAGTTTGTTTCCATTCCTCCATTCGTTGCGTGTACATTTTTGCCACTCAAGATGGCCGACAGGAAGCCTCGCCTACCCCGTTGATTACATCCGTGCAACAGCTCTATAGCCACATCATTGACTTCCTAATAAATAGAGTTCTGAAACTAGAAACAATTTAGAACACTTCTTAAATAAATGATCAGAGTCCTCAATTAATATTAAATTAATGATCAAAGTCCTCACACTGGGTACTGTTCACTTATGTGATGCATTATGTTGAACCAAACATCTCTAGCACTAGGACCATATCTTTCACGCCACATAAATTCATCTAGATATGATGGCAACTGCTCTGCATGACATCCTTTCATTCTTTTCAGCTTCCGTTTTGCTCTACTCCAGTAAGACTCGATGTTTTGGGTATGCACACCAGTAGCTGGATCTACAAAATTGACTGAGTGATTAACCATTTGATGGGCAGCAACTTGTGGTAAAGAAGCAACCTGCCGATAAGCACTCCATTCGTCGGAGTAAACTGTGGTACCATTAGCTACATGTGCTTGAATTATGGGATATAGAGTTGCTGCCTGTCTATTTGGTACCAGTTGCATGAAACCTAGTGACGGTTGGAATGATGTGTCCACCATCCCAAAGACCCACAACTCCTGTCTAGTTGCTCGTCCTCTATGATGCTATAATAAAAAGTAATTAAATACATTAATGTTACGGGTAGTTATGTTACTTTAGGTTTGTGACGAAACAAGGACTCATCTATTTGGACCACTTTGCCTGGTCCTCCTAAAACAATAGGTACTGAGATCAATTTGGTGGAACAAACATCTCTTAACCATCCATAGACATCTACCGCAGTGTCAGGATTCACTTCAGCTTCTCTTGATGCATCCGTGACAGGGTACTCCCTTGACCACCATAGCATCAGAATCATCCATTTTTGTAATGCTATCTTGGATTGGCTAAAAAAGCTTCCATGCCTGATGGACCTTGTAGTTTTGCAAGTTGGGCAATACCAACATTTCCCATCACTACCAGCCTGTGCTCTTGGTCTCTCTCGCATATGTACACCATTGCATCTATTAAAGTCAATATAATTGTAAGTTACTTTTGTTTAGTTAAAATGTTACACGCAATTCTTTTTAATGTAATTCTGAGTACAGGTATATAATAGTTTGTTTGGACCCCATCCTTTACTTTCCTATACTCATGTTTATCCTACTTAAAGGCCTATATGTTATGGTAAAGAAATAATACTCCCACTAGCTACTACAGTCATACTTTACCTTATACAATCC